ATATCCTCCGTCTCCATTGAAGTACTGGAAGTTGAAGGCACCGTTTCCATTGTTTTGAGAGTGGTGATTCCTGTTGAACATTTGAAATTGAATGGATGAATTTTTAATTTTGAAGAATCAATTTGAAAATCAAAACACTTATTCAGATCGAAGGTTCAAATTTTTGCTAAATAATTTTGAAATTAAATAAAATTTGTAATTGTAAATGATGAAGTTGAAAATTAAAACATTTACTTATATTAGATGTTAAAATTCTTGCTCAACACAGTTTAAATAAAGTTTTCTTATATCTGCCACTTTTTCTTAATATTTGTAATTTTAAATAATCAATTCGAAAATCAAAACATTTATTCAGATCGAAGGTTCTAATTTTTGCTAAATAAATTTGAAACTATTTAAAATTTGTAAAATAATAATTAATTAATTTTAAACTAATAATTTACTTAACACTATCAACATTTATCAATAGTATGACATAACCTATAAACTCAGTTTCTCAACTTTTGTGTCAATCTAACAATTAATCAATCAATCATAGTTTACGATAATGAAATATCAGTGTACAATTATTTACCTTTATTGTTGTAGTTGTTGTAAATGACGAATCTAAGCACTCCACATTTTCACTACAGACACAGCTGACGATACTTTAACCACACGTGTGAACTTGTATTATGACGCTTTCTTGTTTTTCCAACGCCAAGAACGTTCGAGAAAGACAAAGACAGAGACAAGCATGCGCCGATTCAATGCGCCTAATTCTCTAGCGCTGCGCGCGGAGCACTCTCGTTCGGTGACTCATCGTAACGTTACCGGGCGTTACACTTTTTCATAAGTGACTTCCAGCCGCAACCTAATTTAAGACGTTGTCACGTCAAAAATAAAAGAATGTCTAGACCCCAGAAGTTTTTCCTATATAAACTCTTCCATAAATCAATATGGGGATAGGTCTTTCTCAGAAAGAATTTTATTTTCTAAATAGAACATGTCGAGGCTTCAGATATTTTATTGATATTCTTTATTTAAGGCTCAGCCATCCAAGAATCCCTTGCCAACACATTGTTTTTGTATTTAAACATTCAATAACCGTTGGTCACACATTGTATTGGAATAAATCTATCAGATATCCTATGTAAACACATTTCTGTGAATTATGAACTTCAAAATTACACGTTGACTAATTATTATGGAATCAATCGTGGAAAATTCCTACGTCAATCGTTTATAATTCAACCATTTATGAATCCATTTAAGAATTCTAAAAAGTCCATCATTATGGATTCTGTCGTTTACGAATTCTAAATTGCCCAATGTTATGGGTTCAAAACTCCTATGTGAACTCATTGTTGTCAATCTTTAAAAATTGACAATATATATATTTGCGGATTTAACCATTCAATCATCTTAAATCAACCATTGTTGTGGATTTAATAATTCTATGTAAGCTTCTTGTTGCTGATTATAACCATTCAATAATCTTAAATCTTAACCTGGTTGTGCATAAAATCATTTTGGAATCTTAAATTGTCCATTGTTGCGGATTGGATCATTCAATAATCTTATATAGTCCACTAGACGAATGGCCCGGGCAACGCCCGGGTTTTACCGAGTGCGTATATATTTTAAAAACGTTTTAATTCAAATACTATTCGTTACAATTATAAATTGGCGCCATGGATGTCACTCTTGTGAAACGTCCCGTTCCAAACTTGTGTTTTTAAATATTTTAATTAAAATACTATTCGTTACAATTATAAATTGGTGCCGTGGATGTCACTCTTGTGAAACGTCCCGCCCCAAACTGTGCGTGTCTTGAAAATATAAATTATACAATTATTATATATATTGGCATCATATATTAACTTTATGAACGGAAAAATATGTCCAGGGTAGCCTAGTGGTCATGGCATCTGCCCGGTAAGCGGAAGGTCGTGGGTTCGATTCCCATCCCTTGACACTTTTTTTATTTTATCCATTCTGACCAAAATCTATCCGTGAACTTCACACAGTGAACTTCACACAGACAGAATAAGGCAATTATATAAGTAGATATATTAATATAAATATAAGTAGATTATAAAGATAGAAGCTTCTATAGAAATAACTAATATAAGCCGAAATAGCTCAGTTGGGAGAGCGTTAGACTGAAGATCTAAAGGTCCCTGGTTCGATCCCGGGTTTCGGCATCTTTTTTTAATTTTTACTTACCGTAACTTGACACGTGACCAAAATCTATCCGTGAACTTCACACAGACAGAATAAGGCAATTATATAAGTAGATTGTTGCGATTGGATCACTCATGAATCTTTAAAATTCCATTGTTGTGGATTGGATCATTTAATAATCTTAAATTGTCCATTGTTGCGGATTGGATCATTTAATAATCTTAAATTGTCCATTGTTGCGGATTAGACCAGTCATGAATCTTAAATAGATAATTGTTGCCGATTGGATTATTCAATAATCCTATATAGTCCATTGTTTCGATTTGATGACTCATCAATCTTATATAGTCCATTGTTGCGGATTAGATCACTCAAGAATCTTAAAAAGTTAATTGTTGCGGATTGGATCATTCAATAATCTTTAAAATTCCATTGTTGCGGATTAGATCACTCAAGAATCTTATATAGTCCATTGTTTCTGATTGGACCACTCAAGGATTTTAAATAGGCCATTGTTCCGGATTATACCATTCAATAATCTTAAATAGTGCATTGTTGCGGATTGGATCATTCAATAATCATAAATAGTCCATTGTTGCGGATTTAAACAATCATGAATGATAAATAGTCCATTGTTGAGGATTGGAATCACTCAATAAACCTAAATAGTCCAAAATGTGTTGTGGATTAAAGAATTTTAGTCAAAAATATAGCTGCGGATTTATACAGCCGAAGTTAATATCCCCATTGTTCGTAAATTCACCCATCTAAGAGAGAATTACATATATATATATAGTCTGTTAAGAAGTTATTTGTTTAAAATATGTTAATTCATATTGCTATAAGTTCCACACAATTCATAAATTTATTCTAACCTCACTATTTGACCCAAACAACAAACATTCTTTATTAAAATACATGCATTATTCAAACTTTTGCGGAATATATATTTTAAACTTGGTATACATACATATTTGCTTTTATATATTTTTTTTCAAGTAAAGAAAATAGTATTCTAAGAAATAAATAACATACCACCAAGATTGTCTGAATTGTAATACGAGTTATTATATATATATAAAAATCAAATGTTTGTATGTTTGTATGTCCGGTATACAAATTCGCAGTAGTTCACTAATTCAAAGCAAAATTTCCATACATAGGTAAAAAAATTACGGGGAGACGATAGGCCATTTTAAAAATATATAAATCAATTATTAAAACTATATATTCAAATTATTCTACTTAGCTCACGAACAGCGCCCTCTATCAAAGATTAGATTAAATTATGCTTATGCAAACAAATAGATAATGCTAATAACAAACAATTATTTAAAAAAATCTTATATAAATATATATCACTCGGGTAGATATGCACACGGGTCAATCACGGGGCGAAGCCCGGGTCACCCGTCTAGTTATATATAAAGAAGGAGATTGAGGCTCTCAGGAGACAACGACTTCCTATATATATCCCCAAGATCAATAATATTTGGAACTATATCAATATATACACGATGGATTTACATTATAGAATTATAAAGATACGATTACGTCAAATTATCGTTAAAACAGCTATAAATCTTTCTTTTATAAATATTTATTCATCATCACAGGGGAGCTTGTGGATTTCTACAAATTACAAAAAAAGAACTTTTCTTTTGCTTATCCCTATTACAGGCCATGATAATCATGGTGGGAAGAAGTTAGCGACTGCTTTTACTGTAAATGCACCACATATCTACACATGTGAAAAGCAGTTCGACTTTGCACTTACAAATGTGCCCGTTTGGTTACTTGAACTCGCTGGTGGAGTTGGACTTTTGCAAGAAACGGGGGCCATTGGAGCTTTTTTTTATCAGAAAAAAGTGCCCAATGTGGGAATCGAACCCGGGTCGTAGCGGTTTAAAACCAACGGTTTAGACCATCCTTTCACCGACCCCCAAAAAAGAACATAAAAACCGCAATTATTTTTATTTACTTGATTAAAGTAGCTTTCGGGAAAGTCCTTCTTCAACTAGCTAAATATAAAGATATTATGAAAAAAGGCATCTCCTTATCGTACAAGTGAAAGTTGCTGATGGCTTACGCCATCTATCGGAATAACTATCAACTATTCTCGTTGATTTTTAATTATTCCAGAATTGGCCAAATACCCATTCTTGATTAATCAAGAAAAGTTAACCACGTACGCGTTTTGGGCTTTTGGCTCTCATATATTTTTATTAAATATAAAGAGTTATATATAAATAAATAAAGAGTTGTGGCGTCTTATGCCTTTTATGTAATAAATATGATGCATTAGAGCGCCATCTGTAATAAAAAAATTTGACTATTTTGACACGAACTATTTTTTATTAAGAATTTTTAAATACATAATTTTAAAAAATTAAGTAAAGGCACAGTAGAAATTATATTTATCTTTAAAAGAATCATATACGCTTCAAAATAATTCAAATATATAACATAAAGTTGTGTGCGAGACGATGAAATTCATGTGCCTAAAAAAAGGTACCTTTCTCTTTGATAAGTTAATTGAATAAAATTTGTAATTATTATATACCGTAAAATAGGGCAATATATGTTGTATACAGAGGGGTGGTAAGAGAGAATGAGCTGAGGAAGGAACAAAGTGTTACGGAGGACAATAATACCACCGAGGAAGGAGACAACGAGCTAACTAACTCGACCCAATCCAACAAATTAGCTGGCCGGCCTATCCAGTTAAGTGCTTGTTGTTCTGCTAACGTTTTATTGGCCGTCTTCAAATCCCTTCTCATTGGTCGCCTTTTTTACAACAACACATCAACTACCAATAGACATATATACATATAGCCTAGTAGGTAGTCTAGTGGACATGGCATCTGCCCGGTAAGCGGAACACTGTGGGTTCGTTTCCCATCCCTGGACACTTTTATTTTTCCGTTTATCATTACTCTTCACAATTCACCCTTTCATACCTTATATTTATGGTTAGAAATAATCGTTATTTCTCCTTCAAATAAATTTTGATTTTTCATTGAAAAGAAACTCATGCGGGATAATTTTTAAATGTCGTTTTATATATACATATCTACTCGAATATACGATTTGCATATATATAGGTTTGTCTGGTTTATTCGCCCGTTGATTGGTTCTCTACTATCATGTAGCTACAATCAGCCAATCAACGTTGACTTCATTAGTTAATCAATTAAATAATATAACAGGTTATAGGAGATTTATTTCTTTCCATATTTATACATATAAAATGAAAGGATTTAAAAGCACGAATGTTTCTTTTATACATAATAAAAACTTCTACTGCCCTTATTGCGATGAAAAAATATATTGGGAGGGCTTGGATCATCAGTGGTGAACCCTCCCAGCGGTTTCGCCAATTCAATCCACCAGACCACTTCTCAGAGCTCTAAAACTGTATTGGACGATTCTGCCTATATACGCAGCACTGAAGGGTGGAATCTTAGAAATGGTTTGAAAGAAACTATGGACATAAGCTCATAGGACAGTAGAATTACATTCAAATATGTGCATCGAGCAATGCTCTTCCGCAAACAATAAAGACAAGGCCAGTTAGGCATGGCATATTTATCAATGTTATCTTAAGTTTTCGGACATCTCTGCCCTTCTACAGGATAACATAAACACGAATAATAAATGAAAGCCGTTAGATACTAGTTAGTGATCATCTAAAAATAGTCAATATAGTTAATCAGCGTTCTCATTGGTTACCATTCTCAGCTCAATACAATATAATGCGGCTTATCCCGCATGTGTTTCTTTTGAACGAAAAATCGAAATTAATTTAAGGAGAAATAACTCTTCATAATTCATCCTTTCATACTTCATCCTTAAGGTTAGAAATAATCGTTATTTCTTCTTAAAATAAATTGATTTTTCGTTTAAAAGAAACACATGCGGGATAATTTTCAATTGTCGTTTTACAAGTCTTATCTCATTGGTTACAATGAGCTTCAAAGAAATATATTATATATAAGATAGATTATTGAGTTCTATTTTAGAGATTTCTATTCTCTTTTTTTATAATAAAGATGATTTTTAGTTATTCTATTTGTATACGATTTTTTAAAAAAACAATATTTTTAGGGATTGTATTTATTAAACGTTTCAATGTTAGGAATTTTAAGCTTTGTATAAGTACTTTGTATTATAGGGGAAAGTTGGCACAAAACTTCAGGTGACCTAGAGCAAGAAAATGTCCAATGTTTACACTTTCAAACGTAGTATGTTAGTAGTAGTAGCTGGGTCTAGGGGAATCCAATCATGTGGCCGAAACTCTTTCGAAGCTCAAAACGCTCTTTTATTATCGGCTACTAGTGGCAACTTACATATATGATCCGCGAAGTTGTTTTTCCAAAAACTCTTATTTTGATGAATAAAGAAAACCTTCTTCGATTTCGCCCATGAAAAATAAATTGGCAACCAAGAAAAACACCTCCAATCGTTGTAGATAAGGATCGTTGATATGCGATGGAGTGAATCCTAGATTATATTTTAAAGAATTGCGGGTATACACTCATGGGCAAAATAAAGATGGTGGAGGGTCTTTGATGTCGACGGTCGTCTTTTTTTTTTTTTTAATAAGAAGACATAAGCAATTTTGTTCACACTTGGTTATCTCATGTGTCTTCAATAAAGATCACTGTAATATCTTTCAGAGTTATTGTCTGATTCCCGATATACATGCTAAAAAGTACAATTTCTTTAAGTTTTGTCCGTGTGTATATAGAACAAATCAAATAGAATATATCAAAGAGAGAGAACACAACCCTTATCTCATTAATTTCTGGTAAAGAAAATTCTCATTATAAAAATAAAGATTAGAGCAGAAAACAAACCTATTTCTCCTATTACAAGGCAATTGTAGAAGCTGTAAGTCTAGAAGCAAAAGACGTTATAATTGGTTTGAAGATCAAATTATCTATAGGACCACATTATTTTATATTTAGGTTTTCTCGTTATTGGAAATCACATTGAAGATACATTCGTTTATAAACATATCGTACTTTATAACTCGTCAGTAGCCATACTACTATATTAGTATGTGGCTGTATACTACACATGACCTCTACAAGACACTCTATAGGGCGTAGTAGTGAAACTAAGCTACTATTCAAATACAACAATATATATACCTTGCTATATCAAAATTATGATGTACGAGTTTGGGGAAAGGTCTATCACCTCTCTCTATTACACTATTTATTATTATTGATATCATAACACACTACATACTCATAGACAAAACTTGAGGAAGTGGAAAGTCTTTGTTGAAAGTTCTCTCTTGTTCTTGTTATTCGATTCTTCACACAGATTCAATTGATTCACATAGAATCAAGTCTTAGAGAGAGAATAAAACAACAGCAGATCGTTATATTGGAATAATAGTAATAATATTGTGATGTTAATGTGCATATTGCTAATGATACTATATCCCTGAATTCAAAGTGCTAGATAAAGCTCCTATACTCCAGGCAACACAGAACCCAACAAAAACCTCCAGGACCGACATATGTGAAGTAGAATAACAAGAGTCGAGCTACAAGATAAAAAGGTCGACCCCAGTAATCGATACCAAGTGAAATGAAATATGTATAGAGCCCACATACGGACGGACGGACGCGACATTCCTAAGCGGCCATCTCGGCAGAACTCCCAAATTTCCGGCAATTTCTGCCATCCTGAATATGGATCCTGGCTAACGCCATTTTATCGTACCTCGGGGAAGTACCGCACATCATTGATGCCGCTCCTACTTCAATTGGATTTACGAAGAAGAGCGTTGTAAATACTTAAGTGAAGACAGAATTAGATTTATTAAAATTACAAATATATTCTCACAATGAGTATCTTTTTTTATTGAAAAAACGCTAGCTTTCAAGCGTTAATCGCTCTTCAACGGGCTTACTATAAGCTGCAATTCTGCTGTCCTAAAAGCTTATGTCCATAGTTCATCTAAAATACCCATTCGAAGAGTCAAGCATCAGTATCACTATAAAAGGAAGTTCCAAAAATGCAATATAACAGCGGTATGGTAGATTAAACTGGCGAAACCGCTGGGAGGGTTCACCACTGATGAGCCGGGCCCTCCCTTTAATTTTTCCATTGCAGTAAGGGCAGTAGAAATTGCTTTATTTTAAAAAGAATATTACGCGTCTAAAATAGTTTTATAATTTGATAACAGATGGCGCGCTAGTGCATCGAAATATCGACTTTATCCCACCAGAAATATTTACAAAAACAAATGCGCGCAGCGTGGATATTTATAACTGAAAACTTTTATAACTTTTTATAATTTATATATAAATAGGTTATAAATATCCACACTGCGCGCGTTTGTTTTTGTAAATATTTCTGGTGGGATAAAGTCGATATTATAGTAAGCCCGTTGAAGAGCGATTAACGCTTGAAAGCTAGCGTTTTTTTAAATAAAAAAGATACTCATTGTGAGAGAATATATTTGTAATTTTAATACTTTTTTCACAATTTTATCATGAATAGAGAATTAGATTTATCTTTTCAAAATTATTTAAATATCAACGCTGGGCGAATATGCAAAATTGCACGTGTGTGACACAAGATACCTACTTACTAGGCTTAAACACCTGCCTACTCTTATACAAGTATGTAATAGTACTCTGCCTGTCAGAAATAATGATCTAATAAAACAAGTCGGTGGATGAGAGGGTAACACGCTCGATTCCCGACAATAAGTCGGTGGATGAGAGGGTAACACGCTCGATTCCCGACAGTCATGAACCGGGATTAAATCCCGCGTTAAAATTTGTTTAATATGTGAATAACCTTCACATATTATTCATTGTTCAATTATCATGAACTAGGTTGCTCTTGCTGAGCGGTACCTATTTATGTGAATTTGAACCAATAATGATCTAAAAACAAGTCGGTGGACGAGTGGGTAACACCCTCGATTCCCGACAGTCATCAACCGGGATTGAATCCCGTGTTAACATTTTGTTTAATATATGAATACCCTTCACATATTATTCACTGTTTCAATTATCATAAACTAGATTGTTCTTGTTGAGCAGTACCTAATAATGTGATTTTTAACCTCCGAATAATGATCTCACAGGTGGACGAGTGGGTAACACCCTCGATTCCCGACAGTCATGAACCGGGATTAAATCCCGCGTTGAAATTTGTTTAATATGTGAATAACCTTCACATTAATCACTGTTCCAATTATCATAAACTAGGTTGCTCTTGTTGAGAAGTACCTAATAAAATTATTTTGAACCGTCTGAAATAATGATCTCACAGGTGGACGAGTGGGTAACACCCTCGATTCCCGACAGTCATGAACCGGGATTGAATCCCGTGTTAACCTTTGTTTAATATGTGAATAACCTTCACATATTATTCATTGTTTCAATTATCATAAACTAGGTTGCTCTTGTTGAGCGGTACCAAATAAAGTGATTTTAGAACTGAAGTAAAATAATGATATTGTCGTTGTTATTGAAGATTATTAATATATAACTATTGTTCACAATGAGTTTCTTTTTTTATTTTAAATTGCTAGCTTTCAAGCGATAATCGCTCTTCAACGGGCTTAAATATAAATATATATCAACTATATCTAACAAGAAATATTTACAAATATAAACACAAACGCGCGCAGCGTGGATATAAAAGATACTCATTGTGAGGAAATATTGTGTAATTTTAAAATATTTTCACAATTTCATAATGAATATAACTATTGTTTTATAAACCTTTAAAATAAAATAACATTAATATAAAGAGAAAATGCACCTTTTACTATATACATTAGCTTCAAACCTATTAATCTTGTTTATTTTTTCTCTCCATATCTCTCCTTTTTCCTTATCATCCAGCGGCCCCTGACCTACAGAGCTGGATCTT